TAGTGCATGGAAGTAGAAATGGATGTTTCAGGAGTACACCACCATTATCAGCAACAGGTACACCATTACATACATACTGCTTGATTCTTCTTCAAATTTCAGAACTTTCATGATAATGTTTAAAAATAAGTGAAGGAGTATTGGAATTTGCATGTTACTTTCGCAGTTAAGTTTCAGATGGATTCGATTTTGCTCTTTAATTTGATGTAGCCATCGAATAGTTAACTGTGTAGAATGTTGAGATAAATACGCAGTTTCTAAGTTTATTACATGATGTTCTATACTTGGTTTCTTAATCAGCGTTGTAATATTTGATCTTCGTTCTAGATTCTGAAAAGAACATGGAATGGGGATTAGGTGTTGCTTTAGGTTTTTGCTAGATTAATTTCTGCTTAATTGAAGATTTTCTTCGTCTCTTTTTATCTCAAGCTTAATATATAATCGATTATGACTCATTGATCATCCATCTACTCAAAATTGTTTGATTAATTCTTCGATTTTGTAATTGTTAATTGATATTAATTGATATATTAAGTACTTTAAGATCTGATTCTTTCTGAATTCGTTGTTATAGGAGATGTCTTCGCATATGCTTGACAGCATGTTGGTGTGCACAAAAGCACAACAAGATAAGAAACCAAAGCCACCGGAGGACGCTCTGAAATGCCCAAGATGTGATTCCGGCAACACCAAATTCTGCTACTACAACAACTACAGCCTCACTCAGCCGCGATACTTTTGCAAATCCTGCCGGAGGTACTGGACCAAAGGCGGAACCCTAAGAAACGTTCCTGTTGGTGGTGGATGTAGGAAGAACAAAAGATCATCATCGTCATCATCATCAGCCACCTCACCCATTTCATCATCAGCTTCTGCGCTTTCAAAGATCAGAAGGCCCCAAGATCATCATCTCAACATCCAACAACATCATCAACATCCACTCAACATCATCACATCATCTAATTCAAACAATCATTTGCTTTCTAGTGGTTTAGGCCATTTACCTTATGACTCAACCGATCTCTCCCTTGCTTTTGCTAGACTCCAGGGTCAAGCAAATACCCACCTGGGATTTGACCAGTTTGACCAAAACGATCCCACTTCAAACCACAACTTGGGTTTTCTTGATGCGATTAGGGGAGGGTTTCTTGAGAACATGCACACCTCGAATGGATTTCATAATGTGTTGTATAGTGGGGGTAATCTTGGAAATGGAGAGATGGGTAGTGTGGGAAACTTGATCATGGGTTTAAACAATGGTAATAGAAGCCATGATCAAGATCAAGAAATCATGAATCCGATGTTCCATGATCATCAACAACACATGATGAACAATGGTAGCACTTGTAGTGCAACAACCGCAGTTACAATGACAACAGTGAAGCAAGAAGCATGCAATATGATGAAATCATCTGAGTTTGGAGAGAGTAGACCAGGAGGAGGAGGAGGAGGGGTATTATGGGGATTTCCATGGCAGATAGGTGGTGGTGGTGGTGGTGGAGATCAAGGGAACATGGCTCATGATGTTGAATCAGGGAGATCACAAATTGGAGGATGGAATGGGATTAGTTCAACAGCTTGGCATGGACTCATAGATAGCCCTCTTATGTAGAACAAGTAAAACTATAGATCATCTTGTTGTTTAATTAATGTTAGTGCAGGAAAATTTAATTTACTTCTAAAATCTTTTGTTTGGATGGTGGTGGTGGGTGGGGGGGGGGGATAGAATTATGTACTTGGTTTTAACTAAATTTGTTTGTTTGTTTATGTTTGACAATCAAGAACCTGTTTTTTGTTTCCTGATCAAGAACAAGTATACTACTGCTTATGTTGTTTTGAATATGAGGACGCATGTTCATTGCTATTATGTAATTTCTATCTTTGAATCAACTTCATTGCTTATATTATCTCATTGTTATGGGAATAGGGTAAAGTTATTTTTCATGTATTGTTCAATAAAGTACACATTCCAATAATATTTAAGACTTTGAAGTAATAAAACGGTGAGATTGGAGTTTAGATTGTTTTTTAGTCTAAAGGATGTTGTAAGGATTGTCGTTTTGAATGTTTTGAATATACTGTTTGAAGTTTGAACTTTAAATTTGTTGAGCTATTATTTATAGCTATTCGTTGTAAACAAAAGATTATTCGAAAACAACTTTTAATTTATAAAGTAACATAATTGGAGCCGTGACTTATGTGTTGATACTTTATTAACAGTGTCTAAAAAATGATCGGATTTTTTATATTTTTTTTTATTTATAACAGAATCTCAAAATGTTACTTTCTTACACCTCATCACATAAGAGGCAAATCACAGTATTCATTTAGGATCGGTGAACTAATATGTCAAGAATTAGCTCCCAAAAAAGAGGAACTAAATGGAAAATCCCCACATTGTCATTGCCAAGTGCCAAAGGTGTTCTCTTATTTTATTAAAAAGACAAACATGACACCATGGAATCAAAAAAGAGGAACTAAAATACTTGATTTATATCGTGTGTCTCTTTTATTATTTAAAGATATTTTAAATTCATATATCAACAATTAAATATTTCTTAAATCATATATTTTAGTCAAACGTTTGGTTTATAGACAAAGTGATAGGAAAATGGATTAAGATGTTAAAAGTTAAAACGCACTAAAACATTAAAAATAAAAAAATCAAGGTTGAAGTGTGTGAGGACAAAATACAAGATTTTGGCGTGAGAAGATTGTTGTCAGTGAATGTACCAAATCCCCAGTTCAATCTGTACATAAACCCCACAACATTTATTTATTTATTTTCTTGGTTCTGTTTTTCATACGATCTCATTTGTTTATCCTCGGTTATATCTTTACTACTTATAAAATAAATCTAATTATTTTTATAAATAGATTGAATATAATAATATTATTTTTTTAAAACGTCCAAACTATTAAGCTTGAATTACAACTCATTTATAATATAATAATATTAAAACTTTAATCCTATCCTTTATCCCCTAAAAATCTGGTATCAAATTAATATAAGAATTCATTTGCAAATTGAACCCGCCAATCTCAACACTTCAGCCATTTAAAGCGGTCAATGTCAACAATTTATAGAGGATTTCTTCTCTCACATTGGTAACAAGCCATCTCATAATATCTATCTTCGTAATCCCTTCAAAGTAAGAAATATACGCACACTCTCTGGAAGAACCCTAACCAGTAACCAAGACAGTATAACCACCACCACCACAGCCGCTCTGCCTCCTTCCGCCTTCAACTAACCACTATCATGACTACCGCCCTTCCTCTCACCCACGACATGAACTTTCTTTTGGAACATAATATTTTTCTTTAAAAAAAATATCGTTGAAAGAAGCTATTTGTCCCCGCTGCTGTGCATGGGTAACGGCTACTATATATATATATATATATATATATATATATATATATATATATATACTAGGTTACAACCGTGAAAACCACGGATAAAAGATTAAACTTTTTTTATTAAATTAATAAGATTTAAATTCTGTTTAACAATGAAAAGTCATGGAAATCTTGATCTATTGTTCTTCCATTTCTACAAAGTATTTGTGAGACTTTGTGAAAATTATGAAATATCTTGCGATTCATGTCCTGATTTAATGGGATTGCTATTTGCTATTAACAAATTTGTTAGAGATACAATTGTTTTTAATTTTACTCAATTGGTATGGATTCAAATTATAGTTTCCTTTTAAATGTATTTAATGGTTTCCGTCTTTTCCATTTTAAGGCCTTTGAAACTTGGAAAAAATAAATGAAATATAGCATTACCAAACCACTGGATGAGTAAAAATTCGCATCACATTGATCATGAATAAACTCGGGTTTAAATAGACTATATGGTGCATTGAAATTTTCTTTTACAGGATTTACTCTGGCATTAAACTTTCAATTTAGAAGTTTTCCATATTGTTTTTGGGCTTTAAGTTTAATTTGTGGTTATTAAATGGTGAAATAAATCAAAATATATATTTCTTAATGAAGCCGCTATGAAATTTCATTTTTATGTGAAATATATGGTCGGCATATTTTTTTTTTTTTTTTTATAAATGAATTTAATTATTTACATAATCATCAAAAACGATTTTATATTATTCTAAAAACATGTATAGTAGTTAGTTTCCCAAAAATACAAAAGTTTCTTAATCATCATTTACTATTTAATTCCTATTTTAAATAATATACATTAAAAAAAATTAAAAAAAAGACGTTTTCAAATAAATATTATAATAAAATTTAGTTTATATATGTTTTTATCATAAAAGTTAATTTGACAGCTTCAAAAGACTTCAATTTTTAATTTTTATTTTCACTGGGTAAAACCATTCATCATTTTGACTTTGACTTCTATCTATTTTGCTAATCGAAAGATCATATTACCATATCACTTAACCCTATTCTCCTTTTGTTGTCTTTGTGTTTGAGAATAGACCCCCATCAAACCACCTACAATAACCCCATTCTTTATAACTTATCCCGAAAAAGATTATACGGCCCTTTTCCTCTATTTTTACACCAAATCTATTTTTACACCTAGTATTCCATATTGTAATCTTTATTTTTTCCATCACAAATACATCTAATTAATAAAAAGATTGCAATGTGAAGTGAAAGTAATATGTTTGTGTTATGATCTAGATGCATCTAATAATAAATGGTTATATAAATATACTAAGTTTTAATACTAATATAAATGGAAGTTTTAATTTAAATTTTAAAAAAAATGACCCTTCTGAATTGTATTGATGCTCCTAGTAAATGTCCTTCCAAGCTTGCTAGGTGTCTTGCCTTCTTTTTTATAATTCTTCTGTCTTTTTTAAACACCTTGTAATGTGGGGATGTCACCAAATAAAGATGCACATAATACATTTTCCAAATCATATAGTCACCATAGTGGATGCAACATCACCTTTCAAGTTGATCAAACACTTTTTCTTGATCTTGACATCAAGACCAGAAACCATAATATTATAAGCAACCAATATATTGCAAAAATTACATTAAAAACCAATATACAAAGAGTCTAACTCTTTAAAAATGACATTAGAAACCATAATAAGTTACCAATATATTGCAAAAGTTCAAATATTATTATAGAAAATGAAAATAAAACTCCCTCAAAAAATAAGGGTAAAATGGTTGTTTACCTTAACTTTAGACGGCTGCAAACAAGAAAGTCACTTTTTTTATACTTACTTCACACATACATCATTTTAGAAATGAAAATGACCGTATAGTCTACCAAAGATTGAAGATAAGCAACATTTATACTTGAAGACAAGCTTATTCGAACCTCTTAGTAAATTTGGTCTACAAAATCTATTGGTTTCAAAAAGGCTTAGTCCTAAACCTGTGTATAAACCACAAATAAACCTATAAATACATTAAAAATAAATAAGTAAATAAATAAATAAGAGATCCTTTTTAACATATGCATCCCACTTAGCCACTCAATAATCTTGGATCTTGAAAAGAAAATGTATTGGATAATGTAGGTGAAGGATATGGAATGGCTTTTCCAGCATCCATTATTGTGAACGCATTATGCACCTCTACCTAGCAGTAACATCACAAAGTTGAAATAAATGAGCAATTCTTATAGTTTTCACTTTGTGTATAAAAGACACCTGCAATCAAAGGATCATTGAAAAGTTGAAAAAGAAATAAATCGAATAATTAGTGAACTAATAAAGTAATATTTGACAAAAAAAAAGTACATAAAATTTCCATTTTAAAACTATTATCTCTCTTGCTACTTCATTATACTTGAAGTTTATGAAGTTATGTATATGATAATCAACACAAACTACAAAAACCAGGGTATTGAAGTCTCTTTAGATATTTATGATCCATTGAAATGACTCATTGGATCTCTGTGAGGGGAACACGAATGAAAAGAAAAAGTAAAGACAGGTCTTGTGGAACAAAAACTGGTTGTGACAGACTCTACCTTGATTAAGATTAGGCTTTCATGCTTCACAAAATTTAAAAGGAATTTCATTGAACATTTGGTAGGCAACTCAAACGAGTTTTAGATGTAACCTAATCTGATTAGAATGTAATAGAATATGAGTAAATAATAACATTAAACTCAAGATCAACAGTTTTTTCAACTTAACAAAATCAAAGTTGTAAATTCGATAACAAATGTGGACTCTAGAAGTTTGGGTATAAGAGAGATGCAGAGCAGTATCCCTATCTTCATCTAGTTTAATGATTTATCATCAATTGGTTTAACGATTTTGTAGCAGAGAGAGAAAGACCGGGAGCATACAACGTCTTCATTGCAACCTACAAAAAGAAAAACAAGCATAAGTGTTTGATCGACAAAATGAAGACATCAGGTTTCCATTGTAAAACTGAGAAAGAAATAGAACAATTAAAAAGATAAGCAAATCAATTCATACATCTCGTCGATGTCGGTGTGTAAATTACTGCTTGAATTTGGGAGGATTTGAATTTTGATTTTGATTTTATGGAGAGATGAACGTCTTTCCAGATTTATTGGGATAACGAAAGAAGGAAAAGAATTCATCGGGTTCTAGTCTTCTAGTGAGATGGATGCAGATTATTATAAAGATGAAGGACAAAACA